GTTGTGTGTGGTGTGGAGGGGGGTGTGTGGTGGTGGAGGGGTTGTGTGTGAGTGGAGGGTTATGTGGTAGGTGGAGGGTTGTGCAGGTGGAGCAGTTGTGTGGTAGTGGAGGGTTGTGGTACGTGGAGAGTTGTTTGTAGTGGAGGGTGTGTGTGGTAGGTGGAAGGTTGTGTGTGGGTGGAGGTTTAGTCGTAGGTGGAGGGTTGTGTGGTAGGTGGAGGGGTTGTGGCAGAAGATTGAGTGGTAGGTGGAGGGGTTGAATGGTAGGTGGAGGGTTGTGTGGTAGGTGGAGGGTTAGTGGTGGTGAAGTTGTGGGCAGTTGTTTGTAGGTGGAGCGTTATATGGTAGGTGGAGGGTTGAGTTTAGGTGGAGGGTTGTGTGGTCGGTGGAGGGATTGAGTGGTAGGTGGAGGGTTGGTGGTAGGTGGAGGGGTTGTGTGGTAGGTGGAGGGTTGAGTGGTAGGTGAAGGGGTTGAGTGGTGGGTGGGGACTTCAGGGTAGGTGGAGGTTGTGTGGTGGAGGGTTGTGTGGTGGTGAAGGGGTTGTGTGGTAGTGGAGGGGTTGTGTGGTAGGTGGAGGGGTTGGAGTGGTAGGTGGAGGTTGGTGGTGGGTGGAGGGGTTGTGTGGTAGGTGGAGGGGGTTTGTGTGGTAGGTGGAGGGTTGTGTGGGTTGTGTGGTGGGTGGGGTTGTGTGGTGTGTGGAGGGTTGTGTGGTAGGTGGAGGGGTTGTGTGGTCAGTGGAGGGGTTGTGTGGTAGGTGGAGGGTTAGTGGAGTGGAGGGTTGTGTGGTGTAGTTGGAGGGGTTGAATGGTAGGTGAAGGGGTTGAGGTGGTAGGTGGAGGGAGTTCAAGAGGGTGGGTGGAGGTTGTGTGGTAGTGGGAGGTTGTGTGGTTGGTGGAAAGAGGTTGTGTGGTAAGTGGAAGGGTTATGTGGTAGGTGGAGGGCTTGTGCAGTAGGTGGGAGGGTTGTGTGTTGGGAGGGGTGTATGTTGCATTTGGAGTGGTTGTGTGGGGTGGAGGTTATGTGGTAGGTGGAGTGGTTGTGTGTGAGTGGAGGGGTTGTATGGTATGTGGAGGGGTTGTGTGGTTGGTGGAGGGAGGTTGGTGGTAGGTCAGGGGTTGTGGTGGGAGGAGGGTTGTGTGGTGGTGAGGGGTTGTGTGAGTAGGTGGAGGGCTTGTGTGTAGGTGGAGGGTTGTGTGGTGGGGTTATGTGGTAGGTGGAGGTTGTGTGATGGGTGGGCAGTTTGTGTGGAGTGGTGGACGGTTTGTCTGGTGGGTGGAGGTTATGCGGTATGTGGAGCAGTTATGTGGTAGTTGGAGGGGTTTGTGTGGTAGGTGGAGGTGCTATGCAGTATGTGGAATTGTTGTGTTGTAGGTGGAGGGTTGTGTGGTAGGTGGAGGGTTATGTGGAAGGAGGAGCGGTTATGTTGTAGGTGAAGCGGTTGTGTGGAAGGTGGAGGGGTTGTGTGGTAAGTGGAGGGTTGTGTGGTAGGTGGAGGGTTGTGTGGTGGGTGGAGCGGTTATGTGGTAGGTGGAAGCGGTTATGTGGTAGGTGGAGGTTGTGTGATAGGTGGAGGGGTTGTGTGGTAGGTCAGGGTGTGTGGTAGGTGGAGGGGGTTGTGTGTGGTGGGTGGAGCGAGTTGTGTGGTAGGTGGAGGGTTGTGTGTGGTAGGTGGAGGGGTTATGTGGTGGGTAGAGGTTGTGTGGTGGAGTGGGGCGGTTGTGTGGTGGGTGGAGGTTTTGTTGTGGGTGGAGGGGTTGTGTGGTAGTTAGAAGTGTGTGTGGTAGGTGGAGGGGGTTGTGTGGTGGGTGGAGCGATTATGTGGTAGGTGGAGGGTTGTGTGGTAGGTGGAGGGGTTGTGTGGTGGTCGAGGTTGTGGTGGGTGGAGGGTTGTGTAGGTGGAGCAGTTTATGTGGTAGGTGGACGGGTTGTGTGGTAGGTGGAGGGTTGTGTGTTAGGTGGAGCGGTTATGTGGTAGGTGGAGTGGTTATGTGGTAGGTGGGGCTTGTGCAGTAGGTGGAGGGTTGTGTGTTAGGAGGAGGGTTATGTTGCATTTGGGTGGTTATATGTTAGGTGGAGGGTTATGTGGTAGGTGGGTGGTTGTGTGGTAGGTGGAGGGTATGCGGTATGTGGAGGGTTGTGTGGTTGGTGGAGGGTTTTGTGGTAGGTCGAGATGTGGTAGGAGGGTTGTGGTAGGTGGGGGTTGTGTAGGTGGAGGGCTTGTGTGGTAGGTGGAGGGTTTGTGTGTGGTGGGTGGAGGGGTTATGTGGTAGGTGGAGGGTTGTGTGATAGGTGGAGCGGTTGTGTGGTAGGTGGACGGTTTGTCTGGTGGGTGGAGGTTATGGTATGTGGAGCGGTTATGTGGTAGTTGGAGGGGGTTGTGTGGTGAGCTATGCAGTATGTTGGAATTGTTATGTTGTAGGTGGAGGGTTGTGTGGTAGGTGGAGGTTATGTGGAAGGAGGAGCGGTTATGTTGTAGGTAGTGGTTATGTGGAAGGTGGAGGGTTGTGTGGTAAGTGGAGGGTTGTGTGGTAGGTGGAGGGTTGTGTGGTAGGTGGAGGTTATGTGGTGGGTGGAGGGGTTGTGTGATGGTGGAGCGGTTGTGTGGTAGGTGGAGGAGTTGAAGGGGTAGGTGAAGGGGTTGTGTGGTAGGTGGACGGGTTGTGTGGTAGGTGGAGGAGGGTTGTGTGTTAGGTGGAGCGGTTGTGTGGTAGGTGGACGGTTTGTCTGGTGGTGGAGGTTATGCGGTATGTGGAGCGGTTGTATGTGTTAGTTGGAGGGTTGTGTGGTAGGTGGAGGTGCTATGCAGTATGTGGAATTGTTATGTTGGGTGGAGGGTTGTGTGGTAGGTGGACGGGTTATGTGGAGAGACGTTATGCTGTAAGTTGAAGCGGTTATGTGGAAGTGGAGGGTTGTTGGTAAGTGGAGGGGTTGTGTGGTAGGTGGAGGGTTGTGTGGTGGTGGAGGGTTATTGTGGTAGGTGGAGGGTTGTGCGATAGGTGGAGCGGTTGTGTGGTAGGTGGAGGGTTGTGTGGTACGTGGAGGAGTTGTTTGGTAGGTGGGGTGTGTGGTAGGTGGAGGGTTGTGTGGTAGGTGGAGGAGTTTAGTCAGTGGGTGGAGGGTTTGTGTGGTAGGTGGAGGGTTGTGTGGTCGGTGGAGAGATTGAGTGGTAGGTGGAGGAGTTGAATGGTAGGTGGAGGGGTTGTGTGGTAGGTGGAGGGGTTGAGTGGTAGGTGGGGGTTGTGTGGTAGGTGGAGCGGTTTGTTTGTAGGTGGAGCGTTTATATGGTAGGTGGAGGGGTTGAGTTGTAGGTGGAGGGGTTGTGTGGTCGGTGGAGGGATTGAGTGGTAGGTGGAGGGTTAGTGGTGGGTGGAGGGTTGTGTGTGGTGGTGGAGGGTTGAGTGGTGGTGAAGGGGTTGGAGTGTGGTGAGGACAAGGGTAGGTGGAGGTTGTGTGGTAGGTGGAGGGTTGTGTGGTGGGGTTGTGTGGTAAGTGGAGGGTTGTGTGGTAGGTGGGGTTGAGTGGTGGGTGGAGGTTGGAGTGGTGGGAGGAGCTGAGGTGGAGGTTGTGGGAGGGCTGTGTGGTGGAGGGGTTGTGGGCTGGGTAGGTGGAGGTTGTGGTGTGGAGGGGTTGTGGTAGGTGAGGTTGTGGTCGGTGGAGGGTTGTGTAGGTGGAGGTGGATTAGTGCAGGTGGGGGTTGTGTGGTAGTTGGAGGGGTTGAGTGGTAGGTGAAGGGGTTGAGTGGTAGGTGGAGGAGTTCAAGGGTAGGTGGAGGGGTTGTGTGGTAGGTGGAGGGGTTGTGTGGTAGGTGAAGGGGTTGTTTGGTAGGGGAAGGGGTTGTGTGGTTGGTGGAGGGGTTGTGTGGTTGTTGGAGGGGTTATGTGTTAGGTGGAGGGGTTGTGTGGTACGTGGAGGGGTTTTGTGGTAGGTGAAGGGGTTGTGTGGTAGGTGGAGGGGTTTTGTGGTTGGTGAAGGGGTTGTGTGGTAGGTGGAGGGGTTGTGTGGTATGTGGAGGGGTTATGTGTTAGGTGAAGGGGTTGTGTGGTAGGTGGAGGAGTTGAGTGGTAATTTGTTGCGCGACTTTGTCGCAACAGGCCGGAAACACGAATTCACATGTTTCTTGTTCCCCATCTCGTACCGGAAACAAGATACAAAGTTGCTGAGTCTGGTCGCTTTTGGCAACACGAAGGATCAGTTGACGTTCAGCTTGTGATCTGTCAGGTGGGTTTGCTGACACTTAAGAACTACATTCATTATTATTTGCTTTGTTAACAGTACTACATTTTGTTGATATCTTTTATTTTCAGCATCATGTGCACAACTGAAACAACACTTTCTATAAATGAGATGCTACATGCTATTCCTTCTTTGTGGTATGTCACATGCAAAGACTATAAAAATCGAGGTAAAAAGAAAGATTCCATACAGAAACTTGCAAATGAGCTAATGTAAAATATTTAGGAAAGAACATAAGAGGTTGAGTGATTCTAAAAGAAGTGGATGTTCCCCTAAGAAGTGTTTGTGGTTCGGGTATGAACCGCTGCTCTTCCTACTTGGAGGAAACGAGCCAAGATGCGGCCGATGCACTGATGATGATGTAAATCAAGTAAGCATATAGCCTAAGACCCAACAAAATTAATACAAATTCCTTCAGGGCATCAATGAGAGCGTCACACACTTCCGGAACGATGGAAGATATTGACTGTTTTGACACTGAAGGTATACATCAGGCTTGTAAATGAGTCCCCACTGGCAGGATACCTTAATGCTACTGCCAGACGTATTTTGGCAGAGATTGGGGCTCCATAGTTTGTATTTTGGTTTGTGATTTTAGGACCAACCATTTTCAGTAATATTTCAAAATCTAGAGCAGCTGTTCTTAAAAAGTTTCTAAATCCTGCTGCATCTTTTTGTTTCAGGTCTGTCATTAGTTTTTCTTCATATGTTGTTCCTTCATCCACCATCGTCTAGGTCTTTACCTTGCTCTCCACCTTCTTTCTTCTTAGGATATAACAACACAGGCACCCGCTGCAGCGGCCACTTCTGCAGCCACCAACATGATGACGTCGAATGCTCTTACCGCAAATTCATCGCTATAGCTTGGTCTGGAATTGCAACAATGTTTCTGGAATGTCTCGCGTCTGTTGTGAAACAATCGTGAGACAGTCCAGCAACAAAGTTTGCCGATATCTTCTGGACTGTTTCGCAGCAGTCGGTAGACAGTCCAGAAACAATGTTGCAGTGTCTCCCAAGCGTTTCTGGACTGTCTCGCTACTGTTTCTGGATTGTCTCGCAACAGTCCAGCAACAATGTTGCGCGACTGTTTCTAGACAATGTATCTTGGTGTGTACGAGGCTTAAGGCCAACTACCCCGACATTTCTGTCACTCATTTCCACGACTGGACCCACAGCATCATTGGCAATTAATGAAGAAAATAATTGTACATAAATATATTCAATAACCTTACCATTTTCGTTGCAGATCAATATGATCACGCACTGAAGCAAAGAACACCAAACAAGCCTTGGGAAATCTTACCCAACCTTACCCAACCTATAAAAATCCTAAAACTATAAAACACCTGCTTTAACTTATTCATGTTAAGTATGTGTTGGTGTCGTTTGGGGGTCAGGTGAGAGGAGGATCCATGAACTCGAACGCAATTTTTATCCTTTTATAGGTTAGGTAAAGTTTTCAAAGGCTTGTTTGGTGTTCTTTTTAGTATTTTACTCCGCATTGTAACATTTCAATGTAGATCATTGGAAGTTTAAAGGGCTATAATGATTTTTATATCAATTTATCAACAAATATTTTTTTTAATCGGTATAAAAATCTACATTAGAAAAAAATATTACCAATTTTTTTAGTTCAGTCATGGGTCGGGGGACACTGTCAAAACTGTCATGGAGACCTAAGGTTATATTCCAGCCAGTACCTCAATTACTGTTCTATGAAGGACTGTTTTGGGTGTATAGTTTTAAGATCAAACCAGAGACGATGGCTCTTAAACTTTTTTTTTTTTCTAAAATAAGTATATGTATAGTAATAAATGGACGTGTCTATCTCTAAATTGCGTGTCTGTCCCAGCTACACTATAGCTCCAAAACGGAAGCAATTAAAGACCTGAAACTTGCACATATATTACACGGGTCCCAAGGTTGTGCTCCTTGGTATTACTGTTGACCACGGATCCCCGGGTGGTCCAGGCGAGAGCCAAAAATGTTCCCAGACCGAGATATCACCACGGCGATTGTGGGAGCTGGCTACCCGTGTCTGGGAGGACAAACTGGTGGTCAGGGTTAAGTTAACTTGGTTTTGATTGGCTTGGGGTATGGTATGGTATGGTAGGATAAATTACAGTAGGTTAGGTTGAGGTTGGTACCTGTGTCCGGGAGGGCATACAGTGACCGTCAAGGTAATGCAGTACTGTATAATTATATAAGGTGAATAATAACAATAGGCTGTGCAATGATTTTATTTGGCCAAATTGACAATAGAATGTGCTAGATAAATTGTAAACAAATCTTACATATGTTTAATTTTTCTCTTATAATAATACATAATTTTTGATGCGTGTGTGTGAAGTAGATGTGAGGTGTTAACAAACGTGTGCGTATGTGTGTGAAGATGCGTAGTGTGTACAGACGTGTGTGTATGTGTGTGAAGCAGATGTGTAGAGTTTACAGACGTGTGTGTGAAGCAGATGTGTAGTGTTTACAGATGTGTGTGTATGTGGGTGAAGCAGATGTGTAGTGCTTACAGACGTATGTGTATGTGTGTGAAGCAGATGTGTAGTGTTTACAGACGTGTGTGTATGTGTGTGGAGCAGATGTGTGGTATTTACAGACGTGTGTGTATGTGTGTGAAGCAGATGTGTAGTGTTAGCAGACGTGTGTGTATGTGTGTGAAGCAGATGCTTAGTGTTTACAGACGTGTGTGTATGTGTGTGAAGCAGATGTGTAGTGTTAGCAGACGTGTGTGTGAAGCAAATGATGTTGCAACACGACTTCAATGAGTGTCACAACCAGGGTTCCAGTCACCATGTGCTATACAGTAAGAATTAACCTAACCTAAGCTGACCTGACCTGACCTAACCTAACCTAAGCTGACCGTGAGCATCAGCAGTTTACAGTAGTCAGCAGGTAATTATTGCAATCAAAGCCTCAGTCAGTAGTGAACTTGTGACTGCCTCAAACATATCGATATTAAGGGTAAATTTAAGGACGAGGAACTACGTCTCCTCCCTCCAGACGCCCTTGAGCCTCAGCTAACACATAGAGCCAAGTTAATTATGGTGTATCTTCTCGCTTAGGCTGTATGAAGGATTAGTTGTTGAACCAACATCATGATTAGATCTTTCATTCCGGTCAACATCAGATACGGTCAACATCAATTACGGTCAACATCAGTTACGGTCAACATCAGTTACGGTCAACATCAGTTAAGGTCAACATCTGTGACGGTCAACATCACTTACGATCAACATCAGTTACGGTCAACAGCAGTTATGGTCAACAGCAGTTACGGTCAACATCAGTTACGGTTAACATTAGTTACGGTCAACATCAGTTATGGTCAACAGCAGTTACGGTCAACAGCAGTTACGGTCAACATCAGTTACGGTCAACATCAGTTACGGTCAACATCAGTTACGGTTAACATTAGTTACGGTCATCATCAGTTACGGTCAACATTAGTTACGGTCAACATCAGTTAAGGTCAACATCAGTTACGGTCAACAGCAGTTACGGTCAACATCAGTCACGGTCAAAATCAGTCACGGTCAACAACAACAACAACAAGTAGAAGTAGTTGTAGTAGTAGAAGTAGTAGTAGTAGTAGTAGAAGTAGTAGAAGTAGTAGTAGAAGTAGTAGTAGTAGTAGTAGAAGTAGTAGAAGTAGTAGTTGTAGTAGTAGTAGAAGTAGTAGTAGTAGTAGTTGTCGTAGTAGTAGAAGTAGTAGTAGTAGTAGTAGTCGTAGTAGTAGTAGTAGTAGTAGTAGTAGTAGAAGTAGTAGAGGTAGTAGTAGTAGTAGTAGTAGTAGTAGTAGTAGTAGTAGAAGTAGTAGAGGTAGTAGTAGTACTAGTAGTAGTAGTAGTAGTTGTAGTCGTAGTAGTAGTAGTGGGAGTAGTAGTAGTAGTAGTAGTAGTAGTAGTAGTAGTAGTGGGTTTATTGAAGCACCAAACAAAACATCTGAAACCCGTGCTTTCGATCGCGCTGTTCGTCCTGAAGGTTACACGAGCGAAGCCGGTGCTTGTAATGGTGCCATCAGGTGAGTCTGTGCCACAAAGCCTGGAGAGAAAGAGCAGTATTATGTCTGTACGTTTCTCTGTCTATATATACTGGCTTACAGTACATTATTGTATATGACTTATGTATATGGCCGTGTATATTACTGTCATGTATATGGCCGTGTATATTACTGTTATGTATAAGGCTGTGTATATTCCTGTTATGTATATAGCTGTGTATATTACTGTTATGTATATGACTGTGTATATTCGGCTGTGTATATTCCTGTTGTGTAGAGGCTGTGCATATTACTATTATGTGGCGGCGACTGTGTATATTCCCGCGTGGTATGCTGTGTATGGCTTCGTTATGGTATGACCGCGTATTTACTGTTATGTGCTAAAGCGCATATTACTGTCATGTATATGGCCGCGTATATTACTGTTATGTATATGGCTGTGTATATTCCCGTTATGTATGGTGAAGAACAGTGTATTACTGTTATGTACAGCACATCAGTATATTACTGCGGCGTATGGGCGCAAGCCGCATATTACTGTTGCGTATGCAGGCGGTCGCGTATATTACCGTCATGTATATAGACGTGCATATCAAGTTATGAGTAATAAGATGAATATCGTTATGTATAAGTATTTTATATCACTGTTATGTATGTACGCATGCATGGTTTGCTTATGTATGGCGTTTTATATTACCGTTATGTATATGGTCGTGAATACACTGTTGCGAGTGGCAGGCTTGTTATCACTGTTATGTATATAATGCGCATATTTACCGTTATGCAGGTAATACAGTATTCCCCTGTTATGCACAGTATATTTATAAAGGTTACTGCTACATATACGTATATTACTGTTATGTATATGGCCGTGCATATTATTGTTATGTATATGGTTGTGTTTTATTTATCGTTATGTATATATCAGTTATCATCGCATATGGCCGCATATTATTTATTATATACAGGTGCGTTTATTAATGTTATGTGTATGCACGTATACACATTGCTATGTATAAGTACGTGTATGTATCGTAACGTGTATATGACAGTGGTATTCGTTATGTATATACGTGTATATTACTGGCGGTATATGGCCGTGTATATTACTGTTGGTATGGCTGAGCAGATTCTCATGCGTAAAAGGTATATGGCCGTGCATATTACTGTTGGCGTATATGTAATGTATAATATCGTTATGTATATGGTCGTGCATATTACTGTTATGTATATATCGTGTATATTATGGCGTATATGGTCAGGTTTATTATCAAGTTATGTATATACGTGCTCATCACCGTTACGTATATATATCACTAATATGCATATGGCAGTGCTTATTATTAAGGTTAAAGTATATGCACGTGAAATCACTGTTATGCAGGGTTTTAATACCAGCGATATGTATTGTGTTTATTATCAGTTAGCATATGCACGTGCGTATTACTGTTGCGTATATGGATGCGAATATTACTCGGTTGTATATGACCGTTTATATTACCGCGGTGGTACGCGCACGTGTAGCGCACATTATTATGCGCGCGGTAAAGCCTGACACCGTGCGGCGGCGCATATTATCGCTGGCGGCGCGGTCGTATATTACTGGTAATGCATATGGTCAGTATGTTCTTTGTTATGGCCGTGAGATATTGTTATGGGGCGCGATCGTGCATGGCTACTGTTGCGTATACGCAGGATGATTGCCGCAAGTGTCGTGGAAGCATTACCGCGATGGTGAGATGCGTGGCACATTATTGGCGATATGGCTGCATATAATATTGTTATGTATATGTGTATGTACACGGCAGCGGTCGCATACACAGCTGCGGTACATGCATATTATCAGCATGGCGGCGGTCGTGAATGGTTACTTTCTGCCGTGCAGGCGTACGTGTATATTACCGCCATGTCGGCGGCCGTGAAGCGTCACTGTTATGTATACAGCGAGCTGATAAGAGTTCCTGTTATGCAAGGCATAGCGGCTGTGTATAATAGCCTGTTATGGCGGCGGTCGCATATTACTGTATAGCGGATCTAGCATACGCGTGGCGGTACGTATATTACTGCTATGTGGCGGCTGGCCGCATATTATCAAGTATGTTCAGAATAAGGTACGTAGATTACTTTATGCATATGGCCGCATTACCGTTGCAGGATACGGCTATTTGCTGGTGTATATATTGATACCCCTGTTATGCAGCGCGGCGGTGGCTGCCGACATTGCGTATGGCTGTGTTTATTACTGTGTTGCGTGTGCGCGTACGCTTATCACTGTTGGCGTATACAGTTGTAAGCGGACATTGTTATGTATATGTAATGCGAAATGAATATTGTTATGTATATGGCCGTTTATCACTGTTATGTATAAGGCTGTGTTTATGCAGGCGCGGCCGTGAATATTGCCGTTGCGGCGGCCGTGCTTATCAATGTTATATATATGGTTGCAGCGACATTAAAATATGGCGGGCGGTTTAATAGCGACGGCTATGGCGGTACGTGTATACATTGTTATGTATATGGCCGTGTATATTATCATGGTATGGGCGGCCGTGAATATTACTGTTGGCGTGATAAACGACCGTTTATATTACTGCTGGCGTGCGTCGTGGTATACATTGTTATGTATACGTATATTACTGTTACGTATATGCGTTTACTTTTGGCGTATGTACGTATATTACTTTGCGTATATGGCCGTGTATTATTACCGGTAATGTATACGGTCGTGAGCACATTATGTATATGGTCGTATATTACTGTAATGTATATGGTCGCATATTATCAGTTATGCATATGGCCGCATATTACTGTTACATATGGTCGTGCTTATTACTGCATATAATGCATATTACCGTTATGTATCGCGCATGTTATCGTTATGCATATGTCGCATATTACTGCTGTGTATATGGCCGCATATTACTGCTGCGTATGGGCGGTCAGCCATTATCGTTATGTATATGGCCGTATATTACCGTTATGTATATGGGCTGTGTTTAATACTGTTGCGTATATGGTCAGCATATTACCGTTATGTATATGGCTGTGTACAGCATATTACTGCTGGCGTATGGGCGCATATTTTGCTGGCGTATATGGCCGCATATTACACTGTTATGTATATGGTCGTGTTTATTACTGTTATGTATGCTATGGCTTTATATTACTGTTATGTATATGGCCGTGTATATTAATGTTATGTATATGTAATGAATATTACTGTTATGTATATGGTCGTTTATATTACTGGTTATGCATATGCACGCATATTACTTGCCATGCGGCATGGCAGTGTTTATAACTGTTATGTATATGGTCGCATATTACTGTTGGCGTATGCGGTCGTGTATATTACTGGGTAATGCATATGGTGCGTATATTATCGTCAGTATAGTAATGTGCATATTACTGGGTAACGCATATGGTCGTATATTATCGTTACGTATAAGCGGTCGGCATACTGTTGCGTATATGGTCGTGTTTATTACTTTTATGAAATGGCTGCATATTACCGTTATGTATTGGGGCAGTGTATATTACTGTTATGTATATGTACGTGTATACACGGTAATGTATATGGCCGGTATATTACTGTTATGTATATGGCCGTGTATATTATTGTTATGTATGGCGCGTCGGCTTACCGTTAAGTGGCGCGTCGTGTTTTATCACTGTTATAGAGTATGCATATTACTATTATGTATATGGTGTTTATTACTGCTGCGTATGGCGGTCGTGAATACACTGTTGCGTATGCGTATATGCATTGTTATGTATATGGCTGTGTTTATTACTGCGGTGTATGGCGACGTGGCTTATCGTTATGTATATGGCCGTGAATATTACTGCGGCGTATATGACCGTTTATATGGCTGTTGGCGTATATGGCCGTAAGGACACCATTATGTATGGGCGTAGTGTTTATTACTGTTATGTGTGGCGGTCGTGTATATTACCGTTATGCATAAGGGTCGTATAATATCGTAATGTATATGGCTGTGTATATTCTTGTTATGCATATATGGCTGTGCACATTGTTATGTATATGACCGTGGCGGTTACTGTTTATGTATATGGCTGTGGCACATTGTCATGTAGTATATGGTCGTGATATTACCGTCATGTATGCGGATGTGTGGCGGTTATTACATATGGTTGCATATAATATCATATGGTATATGGTCGCGTATATTATCGTTATGTATATGGTCGTGCATATTATTGTTATGCATATGGCCGCGTATATTATCACGTTATATATGGTCGAATATTACTGCTCGCGTATACGTATATTACTGTTTTGCGTTTATGGTCGTGTATATTACCGTTGCGTATATATTGATATATTCCTCGTTATGCGCAGTATATGTAGCTTTTATATTACTGTTATGTATATGTATGCGGCGGCTTAATGTTGCGTATATGATCTAGCATATTACGTTATGTATATGGTCGTGTATATTACTGTTATGTATATGGCCGTATAGTTTACCGTTATGTTCAGAATATGGCCGTGTAGATTACTTTGCGTATATGGTCGCGCATATTACTGTTATGTATAGCGGCCGTATATTATTGTTATGTATATGGCTGAGTATATCCTTGTTATGTACTGTAGCATATGGCTGTGCCGATACGGTTATGCATATATGGTTGTGTTTATTACTGTTATGCATATGGTCGCGTTTATCACCTGTTATGCATAAGGTCGTCGACACTGTTATGTATGCTAATGAATAATACCGTTATGTATATATCGTGCTTATCACTGGTTATGTATAAGGCTGTGCTTACCGTTGCGTATATACAGTTTTAATGACATCAGCGTGGCACGTTTATCAACGTTACATATGGCTGTGTTTGATTATCGTTATGCATATGGTCGCATTACTGTTATGTATATACGTGCATGGCCAATGGTTATGCATGGCGTCGTGTATATTACCGCTGGCGTATATGGTACGTGAATATTACCGTTTGCGTATATGACCGTTTATACTGTTATGCATATGCATATTACCGTTATGTATATGCACGTGTATAATACTGTTGCGTATATAAGTGCGCGTTTATTACTTTTATGTGTATGGTCGCGTATGGTCATCAAGGGCGGTGTCGCGATATTACCGTAACGTGGCGGCGGTCGCATAATATCGCGCGGCAGTACGTGTATATTACCGGTAACGTATATGGTCGTGTATATTAACACATGGCGTATCGCAGTATTATCAGTTATGTATATGGCCGTGTTTATTACTTAGCGTGTATATGGTCGTGATAATATCGTTGTGTATTAAAGGTGCGCAAAGCTACCGTTATGGCGGCGGTCGTGTATATTGAAGAAAGATGGCGGTCATCGTATTACTGTTATGTATGGCGTATCGCGTTTATTACTGTTGCGTATATGGCTGCATATTACCGTTATGTATATGGCTGTGTTGTGACATTGCTTGCGTATATGGCCGCGTATATTACCGGTAATGCATGCGGTCAGGTCATCATATGCAGGCGTCGCATACTGTTGCGGCGCGGTCGCAAGCGACACTTTTTTATGAAAATGGCTGTATATTATCGTTATATTGGGCAGTGCATAATATCGTTATGCATATGGCCGTGCAGGTTAATGCCAGCGGCATGGTCGTGCTTTATTTTCATCGTTGGCGTATAAGGTCGTGTATATTATTGTTGGCGATATGGCCGTGGCTTTATTACTTTTTATGCATAGTCGTGTATATTACCGTTATATTAAAAGTATATTACTGTTATGGAGCAAGGTCGGCATTACTGTTATGTATGCGGCCGTTTATTACGGTTATGGCGCGGCCGTGTTTATCACTGTTATGCGCAGCATGTAAGCGACATTACAGGTATATGGCCGTGTTTATCACTGTTATGTATATGGTCGTGTATATTACTGTTAGCGTATATGGCCGTGAATATTCCTGTTATGGCGGGCGACCGTTTTATATTACTGTTATGTATGCGCCGCGTATACATTATTGCGTATATGGTAGTAAGCGTTATCGTTATGTATGGCCGTGTATATTACTGCTATGTATATGGTCGTGTATATTACTGTAACGTATGGCTGTGTAATATTCTGCGGCGGCGGCTGTGTATACAATGCGTATAAGTGGCCGTGTTTATTACTTTTTATGAAAATGGCTGTGTATATTACTGTTATGTATTGGGCAGTGTATATTACTGTTATGTGTATGGCCGTGTATAAGCTATCGCTATGTGCGCGGCCGTGAGCATATCATTGTAATGTATATGTGGGTTGCATATTCCGTTATGCATGGCGGCTGTGTGGCGGGCTTGCTGCGAGATGGATCGTGCGGCCATTGTTATGTATATGCCGTATACATCGTTATGTATAGTATATGGTCGTGTATATTACTGTCGCGCGGTGGATGTATATTATTTGGCGTTAAGTATATGGCTGGCGTCACCGTTGCGTATATGGCCCTGGTATATTACTGTTATGCATATGGTCAGCATATTATTGTTATGTATATGGCCGTGTATATTACTGTTGCGTATGGCGGCCGTGAACACGTCGCGTATATGGCCGCACATTGTTATGTTTATGGCCGTGTATAATATTGTTACAGTGTATATGGTTGAGCATATTCCCAAGGTACAGTATATGGTTGCAGATATTACTGTTATGTATATGGCCGTATATTACTGTTATGTATATGGTCGTGTATATTGTCGTTGCATATGGTCGTGCATATTATTGTTGGCGTATATGGCCGTGTATATTACTGTTGCGTATGGCGGTCGTGTCATCGTTGGCGTATATGGCCGTGCATATTACCGTTGGCGTATTGCGTATGTTACCGCGGCGGGCGGCCGTGCATAATATCAAAGCGCATATGGCCGTGTATAATACTGTTATGCATGGTACGTTTTGACATCAAGCTGGCGTATATACGGCATTGCCGGCGGCGGCGGTCGGTTTATTGACGCTGCGTATGGCGGCTGTAGCGCGGCTGATTGTTATGTATATGGCCGTGCACAGTATATTTACCGTTTGCGTATATGGTCGTGTATATTTCTGTTATGTGAAGGCGGTCGCATAATACTGTTAAGGTATGCGTTTATTACTGTTGGCGTATATACGTGTGTATTACTGTTATGTATGAGTACGTGTATATTATCGTTATGTATATGGTCAATATTACCGGTTATATACGCTTTATTACCAAATATGTATATGGTCGTGCAGCAGTTAATATCGTTAAGGTATGGCAGTGTTTACTGTTATGTATATGGCCGTGTATATTACTGTTATGTATATGGCCGTGTATATTACTGTTATGTATATGGCCGTGTTTATTACTTTTATGAAAATGGCTGTGTATATTACTGTTATGTATTGGGCAGTGTATATTACTGTTATGTATATGGCCGTGTATATTACTGTTATGTATATGGCCGTGTGTATTATAATAGAAGTGCATAATATCATGACATATTTTATCTAGAATTATTTTTTATATTATTGATAAAACACAAAAGTTAACACACTGGGAAAACCTCGTAGGTGTGAATTCAACTATGGTGACAACACAAGTAACTAGTCACTATGGATTACAATTAAACTATGGTGACAACACAAGTAACTAGTCGCTATGGATAACAAGTAAACTATGGTGACAACACAAGTAACTCGTCACTATGGATTACAATTAAACTATGGTGACAACACAAGTAACTAGTCGCTATGGATAACAAGTAAACTATGGTGACAACACAAGTAACTCGTCACTATGGATTACAATTAAACTATGGTGACAACACAAGTAACTAGTCGCTATGGATAACAAGTAAACTATGGTGACAACACAAGTAACTTGGCACTATGGATTACAATTAAACTATGGTGGCAACACAAGTAACTAGTCACTGTTCCATATTGGTTTTAACTCCATGCAAAGTAAGATAATTGTTTATGATACTGATAAAACTTGGCTGAGTAACTCACGTCTCTCTATTGTCCCTGGACTTTAGTATTAGGCGGTCGTTCCCACAGTCGGTACTGTCCTCTAAGGAAAAATATGGGCATCTGAATTCCAGATAGGTAGACGACTCTGGTGCACAGTTGAATGTCCACTGACATCTGTAAACAAACAAAAGGCTTATCAGGTGTTGATAGTGATGTCAAATGTCGTTTACTGTTGACACTGATGTCAAATGATGTCTCAAACAGGTGTTGATCGTAACGCTGAGTGAAGGTTGAAACAGAAGTGAACAGTGATGCCAAGTAAGGCTATAACAGGTATTAACAGTGAAGCCAAGTAAGGCTGTAACAGGTGTTAACAGTGCCAAGTAAGGCTGTAACAGGTGTTAACAGTGATGCCAAGTAAGGCTGTAACTGGTGTTAACAGTGATGCCGAGTAAGGTTGTAACACGTGTAAACAGTGATGCCAAGTAAGGCTGTAACTGGTGTTAACAGTGATGCCGAGTAAGGTTGTAACACGTGTTAACAGTGATGCCAAGTAAGGTAGTAACAGGTGTTAACAGTGACGCCAAGTAAGGCTGTAACTGGTGTTAACAATGATGCCAAGTATGGTTGTAACAGGTGTAAACAGTGATGCCAAGTAAGGCTGTAACAGGTGTGAACAATGACACGAAAGTTTAAAAATAATAGTGACGGTCTAAACATCAAGGAATTAATTAATTGTATATCATACACTTTATTTATAAAGCGGATATGTGTGTGTGTGTGTGTGTGTTTGTGTGTTCGCACACATTGTGGTGAAATGCGTCTCGTATGGCAGCATTATGTTAGTCTTGAGGTACAACCAGTGCTTGCTCCCTCTCGCTTTCAGCTACCGCCTCCGGCTAGCCCTCGTGGCAAATAGGAAAGCAACTTGCATAAGTCTTTCCCTACCAGTATGCAGCCTCCTCACCATCAAGACTTCTGCTGTGGCTCCTCGTGGCAACACACGGTAACTGGGTGCCTCGTGGACCCAGACTAGACCAGCAGGGGATCTCGGAGTAGCAATGGGCCCCAGAGGAACGGCGCATAGGCCCACAGGCATGTGAACAAGTTTTGGCGCCTACCAGCTATTGTCCTGCTTCCTTGCGGAACCTTGGTAGGTATAAGGCTAAGGGAGTGAACCCCAAACGAAAAATCTGCGGAGGAGCCCCGCATCAGGCAGACATGCTTACAGAGCTCCAACAAGACCCCAACGGCGTTATAGGCGGAAGAGGTGAACACCATGGAAACCCAACGACTACACCGGCGGACGAAGACAATTCCTGTAGAACAGGGTACTAAGGCGAAACCCAGCAAACTGGGTAATCGGTAGTCCATTGGAACTCTCCCTCTCCCCAGTTGTTGCAACACTTCTACCACTGGATCAGGAAAAGGGGGAGCCAAGATGTGTGGATGCAGCCTGCTCCCCTGCCTCGCCACATAAATCAACTCACACACAGCCATCATCCAGCTCATCATACCTCTCATCATCATCAAAACGGCTATACCCCAAAAGTCCTATGGCGACGGACGAGTGGCGACGGCGACAGGCAGAGATGATTGCTGGGAGTCTCTAGTCACAACCCTGCACATGGGTCGTACAGATTAGATGGTCGTTTATGCACTGGGATCTAGTAAACAATGCAATCCGGTCCTGTCTATGGGACTGAGCAGCCCTTTCAAGGAGCCACTCTGCTCCCCCCCTCAGGAGGAGGGGGCACGAAAAGGTCCCCTAAACATAGCCTGCCTAAAAACCCAACTTGACTGGGCAACTGCACCCAGTAAGGTCATCCTTATGCGGTCGAAAACAATCAAATTCACAGATCCAAACAAAAGCAAACCATACAGCCTTTTATGGTCGCTGCATGGAATGTCAGGACCCTTCTGGATACTAGCACAAATGAGCGTCCTGAATGAAGAACTGCCCTTGTGGCAAAAGAGCTGGCTAGGTATAACATCTACATAGCAACCATTAGTGAGTCCCGGCTCCCAGAGGAGGGCCAACTCACAGATCGGGTGTCTAGCTATACCTTCTTCCGGAAGGGTCAGGCTGCTGCGGAGAGAAACCGCATTAATTTTTATGGAGTTGGCTCTGCCATCCGCCAACGCATCCAATACAGGTTAATTGAAATACCTATTGGGTTCAACGAGCGCCTCATGACGCTTCGAGTTCCACTGAATCACTCAAGTCATGCCTTTTCATCAGTGCATACGCCCGAACACTGGATGCAGAGGATGACCTCAAGGAGGCCTTTTACGCCGACGTCAACAGAGTGTTAACCTCTATCACCAGAGAAGACAAGGTTGTGCTCTTTGGTGACTTCAATGCCAGAGTTGGCAGAGATTATAACATTTGGCAGGGAACCATAAGAATAAATGGACTAGCGAAATGTAATCCTAACGGCCTACTCTTCCTTTGCAAGTATGCTGCACACAACCTCATTATCACCAATACCTTGTTTCGGCAAGCCGACAAGCTCAAGGGTTCGTGGCAACATCCACGATCCAAACACTGGCATCTCATTGACTACATCATTTGCAGAGAAAGATATCGCCGAGATGTCCTCATCACCAGTGCCATGCGTGGCTCAGACCACTGTGACACTAATCATCGACTTGTCAGAGCCAAGCTCTCACTTCACGTAGCTCCAAAAGGGCGAAGGCAGCAAGCCTACAGAATAGGTTTTAATATTAAGCGTCTGGAGGATCCAGTGGTAGCACATGCTTTCAGAGAGCAGCTCGAATATGAGCTTATAAACAACCCAACAGCAAACAACGCGAATCCCAGTGCCGAATGGGATACTCTCAACACTCTTATGACAAAAACCTGCAGAGAGACCCTCGCCCAGATCTAAAGAATACACCAGGACAGGTTTGATGAAAATGACCCGGCAATCAAAATGCTCATCCATGATAAACGAGCTGCTTTTGCTGACTGGAAAAACAGCCCTCAGTCTCGGTCCAAAGCTGATACCTTCCGCAAGAAAAAAGTGGCTGCCCAGCGGGAACTAAAGAATCTACAGAATGACTAGCTTAAAAATAAAGCATGTGAAATACAAAAAAATGCAGCTCAGCACAGGATGCGTGAATTTTTCAATTCCATTAAACATTTTATGGGTCAATCACTCGTGGCACAGCTCCCTTCCGCTCATCTGACGATAGTTTTATAATTAAAGATGACGAAGGCTTCCTTCAGCGATGGAAAGAGCACTACCATTCATTGCTCAACCGAATCACCAATGTGGATGTCCTGACAACCCAGCAGGTCCCTCAGCATCCAGAGTTGGCCCACCTTAGCTATTCTCCATCCCTGGATGAGGTACCTACTGCCATCAAAGAAATAAAAATAACAAAGCCTCAGGACCTGATGGAATCCTGGAGAATATATTGGAAAAGGAGGAAAGCCCCCAAGTTCTCAAAGACGCCTCCATTGTCAATATATATAAGAACAAGGGAGACCAGTCAGACTATGGAAACTACCGTGGGGTCTCGCTGCTCTCCATAGCTGGCAAGATTATCGCCCGAGTCCTCCTAAACAGACTCCTTCCTGAGGCGGAAAACTTTTTCCCAGAATCTCAATGTGGTTTTAGACCATCACATGGCACCACTGACATGATTTTTGCTGCCCGCCAGATGCATGAAAATTGCAAAGAACAGCGTCGTGACCTGTAAATGGCTTTCATCGACCTCACCAACGCTTTCGACTCGGTCAACAGGGAAGCCCTCTGGTGGACCCTAAACCGTTTTGGTTGCACACCAAAATTCATTGCCATTGTGAGGCAACTCCACAATGGCATGAA